TAATCACATAATACTTACTTTAACATTGATATTACTAATACGCGTGCGCCATTAGTGAACCATAGATAACAATATAATCATAGTAAGCCATTGAAAAATGTAGTATTATTTGTAATCATTATTAATAAATAATGTAAAAATTAACTCCGCTTACCGTAATAGTTCAATCTTGAAGCACAAGTGCACGCAATCAATTGCCGTCAATTAAATTATTATATTTTCAGCAGTTTTTGAATAAATTGACTTAATTTCCACTTGTATCCGAAACAATTTTTTTTAACAGATCTAATTGACACATAATTATGATACTCACATATTTACAACCCGCAAACGCTGCACAATTTATTGGTAAAGTTTGAATCAATGCATTATTTATATTGGATGTCAGAATCACAGGACTTGATCATAGCCATAGACAAATCGTAGCTATGATTCCTATATATGATTCTATGGGTGCTGTGAAAAGATTTGTGTTGGTTGCTGATGAATTCATAGTTAAATAGTCACAATAAATATTAATTTTTGCTTAATCGAATACGACTTTCTCTAATGCGAAGTGTTTAACGGAGTTCTGACTGGCGCTTGAATAAATATTTCTGAAATTTGCTTTTGCCTTTCAAATTCGATAAATACTTATATGATATTCTTGTGACAAGTTGAATTACGCGAGCTTTTTGGAAAAAGTGAGGTGTTGTATGTTTTTTGGTTACCGAGGTGTCGTTAAAATGTCCGTCATTTTTGTGACTGGTAAATTATAAAGAATATTAATTTAGGGAAATTAAGAAAAGAGATGTACGTAAACACAATTTTTGTATGTTTAATGAACTGTCATTATCAAGGTCAGATTGGTTATGTACAGTGAAAACTGTTTTTTTATGTTTGAAAAGTGTTTTGCTGCAGCTTACGAAGTGAGTGAATTAGTACTTTGTCAAAATGATGAAAGGAGGAAATTCAAACAAAAAGGAGTCCAAGATGCGAATCCGCGCATTTCCAGTAAGTATTTTTTGTAAGTTGTATGCTTTTTGGAATTTGTCTTTTGCCCCTGACTTGGTATGATATTTCCACGAAATTTGGAACATAATTGTAATGCCTTGCCAAATTTTTCAATTAGAATATCAGTTTTTACCTATATTTGTATCTAGCCTGGGTTTGCTTGAAAAGTTTGGTTATATTTGCACAAATGATCAAAGAGGCACTGTGGCAACTGTGGCACAC